TTTTTTTTTGTTATCAAGAGTTTTTGCTTGTCTTTTTTCTCCTCAGGCATTTTTACATACACGAATACATAAATATCTAAATTTAGCACTTTAGATTTCAAAACATTGACAACTTTTTTCACCAACTCTCCTCTATCGTGTACGCACATTTCGTACACATATTAAAAACTTCTCCCTTTAGCAAAAAAAACTTCTCTATATAAACAAAAACTTTTCTCTTTGAAGTCTATAAATTTCAGAAACTGACAATGAGAGAAGTTTTTTTTGGGAAAATTTTAGAAAGAATGAATGTAAGTATCGCATTTTAATTGAATGCAATTTATACAATTTATGCATTTTGTTCATTTAATACATTTTATAAAATGTATGCAGTGTGTGCAATATTGTTGAATGCAGTAATTGTAAATGATTAATGGTGAATTTTGCAGAAAAAAATATCTGTTTCAAATAACAGATGTTTATAGACAAGATATGTACGTATAGGAGAATGTATAGGTTTTAAATGTCTTCAATTAGATTGGTTTAACATTTAGAATCAGGTACTGTTTCTCATAGTATGGAGAATGTACTTTTCAAGCTGGAAGAAATAAAGATGATACGGTTAGATATCTATCTTTGTAGAGCTACATAGTAGGATTTTTTTAGGTATACGGAAAAAGGAGTAAAATCAACTTTTTTTACTTTCGGAATGGGAAAATTTGAACCTAATAGCTAAAACTCACAAGAACGTTCAAAAATATTTTTCCAGTTTGAACAAAAATTGTCAAAACTGATTGTTAACATCAATAATCCAAAAGTTTCATCAGTGATATCAAGTTCTTTTACTGAGCACCTTATATAAAAGCTGAAAACTGTCGCAATATTGTGGTAGTATGCTTGGTGAGATCACAGGAATCTCTCTCTCTCTCTCTCTCTCTTTCCCCCTCGATTTGTCGGGAATTCCTCGAAATTGCTTCAGGCGTAAATGTAAATTTTCGTACTTTTCTATTTCCGAGCTTTTTCAGTTCTCCATTCGTTGGGAAAACTCGTGATTTGACACTTTTGCTTTGAAATCTGCATTAGACTGCAAAATGACTGAAAAGAACAATGGCAATTTTTTAATGATACGATCAACTGAATATTTTACTCTTCTTTTCATATTTTTTGTTTTTTCTTGTTCTTATTCATGTTCTTGTTCCATTTTTTGTTTTTGTTGCTATTCTTGTTCTGTTTTTGGTTCCTGTTCTTATTCTATTTTTATTATTGTTCATATTTTTGTTCTTCTTATTCTTATTCAGATTTTTATTCCTATTTTTTTGTTCTGCTTTTTGTTCTTGTTCGAGTTTTTCATTCTTGTTCTATTAGAGAAACAAAATTTCCAATTACTCCACTTGATATTAATTATTAATAAAAATGAAAAAATCTTTTGATAGATACTTAAAAATTAATTCAATAAATATTCCAACTCTATAGTAGAATATACGCGGATTTTCTGTGAATTATTAAACACTTTTGATAATGCACATGAGAAATTTCTCTTTCACATTGTCAGTAATAATTAATATTTTTAAAATACTATTTAAGCACATAGTAAAAAATAGCTTTCGATACAAAAAAGACCGCATACTGTATAATTAAATCAGAAAATTATGAATATTTTAAACTTGAGAAAAATATAGATTTTTTGTTTTTTTTTAGAAATTATAATCAATACATCTGCTCAGAATTAATTCTTCTCGCTAAAATGTCTTTTATATACATATATATGCTCAGATAGATAATTAAGTTCACCCAGAGACTATTAAAGTTTACCAACGAGTTACACCGTTACGTCTCCAACCTACTTTAATGCCTATTTGAATCTTCTTTTAGAAAAAAAAACTAATGCATCGCGCGCTCTAAACGTACAATGAAAAAAAGCTTCTCTCCGACACTTTATACTTGCTTTTCATTCATTAGAATTTTTAAACCTTTTCTTACTATTTTCATATTTTTTTACTTTACCTTTTTTTTCTTTATAATAATACAATATTTTTACATATAATTTTTTCAAAAACATCCTTTTTTTAGCGTTCACATACAGATATATATTAAAATAAAGATATGCTACACGATACTATGACGAAAAACATGCAATAGAATTCCATTTTTTTCCTTTTCTTTTGATGATCAAGAGTGTTTCGACGTCAACCAAAATATTTGCATATTCACTTACATGCCTATACATGAGTTTCAAATCACGAACTATAAGTTCATATACATATATTGTATACGTATGCACGTAGGATCGAATTCACAAATATGACGTATTTTTTGACGAAAACAAAGCTATCTTTGTCAAAAGCAATGAAATGTTTGTATTATACCTATATACATGTATATGAACGAATAAATCTGATGGTGTACGCGCAGCTTCTGCATTTTAATGGACGAGATTTTTCATGTCCGTTGGTACAAACAAAACGAAAAAAAAATAAAAAGAAAAAATCTCGGAAAACTTTTCCATTGAAGTATATAACACTTGAGAAAATCTCAAAAAACAATTATTGAAATGGATTCGCGAAAGCATAAAGTGTAAAGTTTTACCAAGCCTTCAAGAAAAGAGAAAGAGAGAGACTGACTCTTCTTAAAGCTCATTATGACGACTCCCATTAAGTAGAAGAATCCACGCGGAAATATTCATTTTATCGTGTCTTGAAAAGTTGTGCTATTAAAGTTAATTCTTTTAAAATATTAGAGGAAAAAAAAAGAATTGATGATTTTAGTTTATTTATTATAGTTCGCGCAAAGGGGATTTTTATATTCAGCTTTCTATGTAATATGTTAAAAATATTGAAATATATTTATCATCATATATGTAGGAAAGCCGCAGTAATTTAAAATACATTATACAGTCTCGTTCCTCTTTTGTTCAGAAAAGTGAGGTGTAATGAATTTTAAATGCATAAATAAGTGAAATACTTTGACACAAGTATATATTGGGTATATGTGAAACATTTCACGTCTTTTCAAGAGTCTTGAATTTTTTTTTGTAAGTTTTAATTCAAGTTTGATTAATGTTTTAAATACCGCAGTGCCAATGCTGTCGGAAAACGAAGAAATGGGTCGAAAAGGGAACCTTTTCGTTTTCCGACAACATTCACACTAGATTCCTTCGAAGCGTCTAAAAATCTAAGATCCAAATCCAAATCGCAGCCAAAATTTTACTAGAGGCTCTAAGTTCCTTTAAAGTGCGACTCAAAACTCTATAGATTCCAATAAAAATGTAAACTTAATTCCTTCACAGCTACTCAGAATTCTGATTGTACCAAAGATTTAAGGTTTGCTCAAAGTGTTTGACATTTCAAGCCCCACTAGATTGATTCTTGTCACCTTAAAATGACTTAAAATCCAAGGTCCTACTAAAGATTCAAGGTTTGTTCAAAACTTCAAAGTGAATCGCGACTCAAATCCTATAAGAATAATGCTTTATGTTCCTTTAAAGGAACTCAAAATCCGAAGCCCAAAAAAATTTAAAGGTTTGCTCAAAGTGAATCCCAACTTAAGCTTCCCTAAAATCTGTAGTATCCATGATAGTGATTCAAAATCTGAGACCCTGATGCTGAAGGTTCTAAGTTAACTTAATAAAGTTTGCTAAATTCAGGGTTTGCTCAATTTAATTCGCAGTTCACGCCTCACTAATATCTGTAGATTCTCATGAAGAAACCCAAGGACCTACTGAAGATTTAAAGTATATCCAAAGTGAATCACAGCTCAAACACTATTGAAGCTGAAATCTCACGAATGGTTCTACGTTCCTTTAGAGTTTACTCAAAGTCAAACATCACTAACGACTCAGTGACTGAAAACTCATAGTTTTCTAAAAGTATAAATAATACAGTTGAAGTCTCACTAGGTTCTAGGTTCCTTAAAAGCTACTTAAGGCTTAAACCCTATTAAATGTTTAAATTTAGAATTTTTGAATAGTTTCAGCTTTCGCTCAAAGTGATGCAAGACTCACTTCTAACTAAATGCCAAGGTTTCGCCAAGGGACTCAAGGCTCAAACCTCACTAATTGTAAACTAATTGAACAAAGTGCCTCAGAACCCAAAGGTTGTAATACCCAACTATTCCTCAAAGTAACTCTGGACCTAAGTTTTGAGTAACTTTGAGCGAATTTTGCCCTATCTTAAGTATTAGTTTTCGCCAAAAGTAAACTAGGTTCTCTAAAAAGTATTTCAAAGTTTATGTCTCATTAACTATACCTAACAACTTAAGATCCGCTGAAAATGATTCAATACTAAGCCTCGCCCAACTCTTTCGACTTCGCTAACTATAAAAGAATTCAAATCACTGCGTCCAATTACGTCACTGATATAATTTAAAATTTTCATGAATACCGCCCAATCATATTCCCCCTCCCTTTTATTCTTTCCCTCACTCTTTCTTTCTTTACATTGAAACATAACCACAATTCTTTACAAGAATTGCTTTTCCTCATCATAAAATTTCAACAAAACGCGGCTAAAGCAGTAGTAGTATATTCTGCATTACGAAAACAGAATCGCGTATATCGTCCAAGTTTTACGTCACACAAATTTATATACACGTGCCCTCAAATTTCCCCTTCTATATAAAAAAAAAAAATTCGCGCTAAAAGAAAATAAAAAGAATTGTGTGCAAGAAAAAAAAAGCGAAAAACATCCAACACCTTGCTCTTTATATGTAATGGTAACTGCGTGGGGGTGTAAAGGAATGAGACGTTCTCGGAGAGTGGGGGGGATGGAGGGCGTGAGAGAGAGAAGGGGGGAGGGGAGGTAGCGAAGACAATGGGGATTCCGTGTATGCGGCCGTGAACGTCCTAGGACACGTAGACGCACGGGGTGCGTGACCCAATCACCCGTTCACCGGCAATGCACCGTAGATCGTAGAAGTGGATTCGTGACGATGTTTTTTTTTGGAGTGGGGAGAAAGAGAGAGAGAGAGAGAGAGAACTGGGGATTCTCTTCTTCTCTTGGCGAATTGATGGTGGGCAGAGGAGTGGGGGGGAGAGAAAGAGAGTGAGGATTGTGGGGATTGGCGTAACGGCTAGGCACCACACACACACTACACACACACAAACAAGGGGTCACGGGAGGAAGGAGGAGGGAAGGGAGGGGTAGCGGCAAAAGGATCCTCGTCAGACGCGCACGCCGAGCCACGCGTGACTCACTTGCCAAGAGTTGCCTCGTAAGGTTCTCGCGGGATTCTCCCGCATGGAGCAGCACTCTACACGATGCATTTAACGCGCGTGAAAGCTCTCAGTGACTCTCATCGACATTCGTCTGATTGGTCTACTTTAAACTCCGCTCCTCAATGTGTCAAGTGTCTACGATTGTGATCAAATTTTTCCTAAATTCTTTATGTTAAAAAGGTGTTTCTTTAGTTCTCCGGCTTTTTTTAAATAGTTTTACTAAACGGTTCTTCTAAACAGTGCTAGTTGTTCCTAAATGATTTTGTCTTAACAGTTTTAAGAAATAGTTTCTCTAAACCGTTTTTCAAGAAAGTTTCTAAATAGTTTTTAAAGTATAGTCGTTTCTTTAGAGGTTCTTTCAAAACCTCGAGGTGTGATAATTGAAACAGTGAATTTGATGATATATTTATTTGAACAAGTGAATCTCAAGTTTTGTGGATGTTAGTGTGCGCCTGTATGGGATGTACTGGGATTAAAGGATAAATTTTCCGATAAAGGTAGAGTAATATTTCGGCATTGATGCTGACAGTTATTTTTTTCTTAGCTTATAGAGAGAATCTTATGTGGGGTAGTTAAAATGTTGTGGGTTTGCCACAAGTCTTGGAATTTGTTTTCTTTATTGAGCAATGAATGGAAAATCTGACTTTAAGATGAGATTGAAAATAGTAAATACTGGAGGATTGATTCTAAAAGAAGTCCATTCGGATGCTCTCGAGTGTTGAATTTTTAAATTTAGCTCATTTGAGAGGCATGTAATCGGTGATAAAAATTCTTTTGGATTGAAATAAACTTGAATGGTCTTTATTTTAATATCTGGCGTAAAGAAAAATTCATTGTAGTTTATTTTCAATTTAGTAGTATACTTTAAGAGCTAAAATAGTTGGTTTTTAATGATAAATCGTCCAAGCGCCCATCCTGCCGGAAGGACGTTCCGAAAAAAAGGCTTTTAAAAAAAGGGAATTCAACTTTTCTTTTCTGGCACTCTTTGGGGTTAAAGTAGACGAAAAGACGAAAAAATACATATTTTTGACTTTTTAAAATAATAATATTAAACCATTTTTCAAAGCCTTCAAACTTGCTATGTTTCTAAACAGTGAGAAAAACATTTTTTCGTAAATTTAATGTAAAATCCCCAAAAATCAATATTTTTTGACCGGACGAGTCTCTTTCTCTTCAGAAACGTTCAAAGAATGAAACCTAATTTTTTAATTAAAAAAAAATCATTTTTAATATTTTTCAGTATATTTGAGTAATACTCAGGCGCGAGTCCCTTCGAAATTGCTCTATAAAATTAATATGGAAGCAGATAAATATAAAACTAAATATATCGTTGGAAAGGTAATGAAACAAGCTTTCAAATGATGTAAATATCGAGTCTTTAAATTTATAAACCTGGGCTAGGTAGTCTCTTAAATAAAGCGAAAAGCGTCCTGCCGGCAGGACCGGGCTTCGTCATTCTGTGACTAAAAATTATGTGAATTTTTGGAACATGTAACTTCTTCAAACTACCCAGCCCTTAGTTTTGAACTTACAAGCTCGATATTTATATGCGCTGAAAGCTTGTTTCATTACCTTTCCAATGATATATATCATTTTTTATTTATCTGAATCCATGTTAGTTTTCTTTAGTGATTTCGGAGGGACTCACCTGAGTCTTTTTCGTCCTGCCGGAAGGACGTTGGACGATCTATCATTAACTAACGAAATAGTGCGGATTCGTTTTATACAATGTAACATAACATCACACAAATGTGTGGTTGACACTTTTGACTGATTTCTGGTGGAAAACTATAAATTTATGGAGTATGTCGAATTTTTTTTACTATTTCAAACTGGTAAACGCTTTTGGAGCATAAATTAGTAGTTTTCTACTAGGATTTAGTAGTTTACACCAGCAATTACTAGTTTCCTACTGGGAATTAATAACATTCTACTAGAAATTAGTGGCTTCTTACTATAGTGAATATTAAGGCACTAATTTTAATTAGGCACAATCACTACACGGAGAAAAATTTATTCGTACTGATTACAATAGTCTATATTACTGCTCGGATATGTGACCACTTTTTGTTATGATTACTATAGCTGTTGTAAGGAGTACAAACATGAAGGTATCCCTTACAACAGCTATAGTAATCGTTCCTACTAAATTCTTAACACATTACATAGTCTTCGTAATCATTCCAAAAAGTGGTCACATATCCGAGCTGTAATGTAGACTATTGTAATCATTAAAAATAATTTTTCTCCGTGTAATCGAATATTCACTTGTAATTTTTAGTAAAAATATTGATATTTTGTTGCGTGGTTCCCATACTTCTTACTACAATTTTAGTCAAAATTAACCTTTTTCTAAAGTTTTGAACGTTCAAATAAACGAAAAATTTGTTTTTATATTTTTAAAGAATGCGGCTGAATAAAAATAATATCCAAGGTGGAAAAGTTAACGTTAGTTAACGTTAGCTAATGCTACTAACGTTAGGCTAACATTAACTAACGTTAGTCTAACGACATTTTTTGATTACTAATATCAGATTATAACGTTAGTTAACATTAGTCTAATGTTAGTTAACGTTAGTCTAACGTTATTAGCATTAGCTAACGTTAACTTTACCACCTGGGATAAATTCAACATTTACTTAGTTAGAAATTAATTTGTCAAGCGTAAAAAATATTTTGTAGTAAAATAGAAATTCGTAGAAGCATTAAAAATATTGCTATTTATATAGATAAATATATCAAGTAAAATTTATTTATTTATTTATTTATATTGACAAGATAATATACACTATATTAGTTCTTTAACAATCCAAACAAATTCATATTTATTCTAATAAATTCTACATACCAAATATTAGTTTACTTTTCAAAAGATATTAAATTTAGAAAAGAATACAATTTTACGATTAAAATTTCAAAATTGACTTTTCCTTATATTTAAATAAGAAAACTTGCGTGTGAATAAAATGAATACGAGAAATAATTAAAATAAATTCCGTAAATGAGAATTTTGGATTTACGTGATTAGGTATAGAAAAAAAAATTTTTTTTATTTAAACGCTGAAACACAAGGAACACACGATATTGCATATGTTGATTGAGTTACTCATAGTTTGTATTTACTGTTACGTTTCCATTTTTATGAGAGATTCAAGTTATGTAAGAAACTGTTCAAATAGTTGTTTCCTTTTGTAAGGCAGAAAAAAAAGAACGTCGCCAATAATTTGGACCATTAAAAATTAAAGTGACAAAATATAAATTTCACTTGTTATTCCTTGTTGGTAATAATATTGTCATTTTTTTCTTATATTTTAATTATTGGGGACAAAAAGTAAATTCTTTATTTGTTCAGAAAAAAAAATTAATTTAAAAAATAAGAAAAATTTTTTCTAACAGTATTTTTTCTTTCATTTTTCTACAAGATAAAACTTTTTCTAGTTGGTTCTTTTTTTTCATTAAAAATTAACTTTTTATTCCTTAAACATTGTTTCTATTGATTAAAAATACTGCGAAAAATTGGAACCAAATGAACTTTCATTCATTTGGTTCCAATTTTTCGGAGCATTTTTGCAGTGTTATTTTCAAAAATTACTGAAATTTCTGAACCTTTATAAAAAAAAGAAAGTCTAATAATAAAAATTTACATAGAAATGGTATGAATAATAGGAATATGCGGAAATAATGAGGGAAATGACATCTATAAATTTTGAGCCGATATCAATGTATGACAGTGGTAATAAAAAAATAAAAATAAAAGCAAGCAAAAAAAAAACACACGAGGAAAAAGAAGCTGTCATAATCGGAATAAGATAGTAGCGGCATTGACGACATTGCGTTACAATTTTCATAAATATTCCATTATTACCCCGCAAATATGTATAAGTACATACACATGTTCTTCAGCGAAATACAAGGCCGATACGGAATAGTGGTTCCTACCCACTCTTTATATTATGATTTGCGCAATGCACGCGGCTTCCGCGAGTTGCCTCTGCATTTTACAAGTGTAGGCTGAACCCAAGTTTCTTTGAAGTGATGATAGAAGGGAGGGCGAGGAGGGGGGAAAATAATGAGGAAACTCCTGTGAGGCAAAGACGTGAGAGGGACTCGACAAATCATATAGAACATATAGTCATATTGTGTGACTATAGGGACGCAAACAATGAATTTTTAGAATCTGAATTTTATATCTATTTTTATAATAATTTTAAAAAAGAATATCTTGCGTGATATTTTCTGAATTAGTCGTTTTTCTTATGAAACAAATAATTGCTGAGTGTTTCAAATATAAGAAGTAATAATTGTCTTGGAAATGCAAATGATACAGTAGAAACTGTTGAATTGGGACATGTGGCGGTTTATTTGAAATCAATTAGAATAATTAGAGGAATTTTTTGATTGGGAATTGTCGCAGTAGTCGAGGTTTATTTTTAGTCGATTCTTCATAGGGGGGTACAGAAATTTTGACTTTGGAAATTTTTGATTCATTTTTTTTCTCAATTTGATATCCTTAGAAAAACGGTACGTAAATAAAGTTTAGTTCAAAAATACTACGCGGAAAAAAATATTTTTACTGGAACAATTACAAATTTTACTGCCTTAGCGAAATTTTTAGTTGTTTCAATTAATACTTTCGCTATTCCAGAGAAACTTATCGCTGTACCAGATGAAATTTTTTTCCATGTAAGGTTTACTTGAAAAATAGTATAATATTTATGAATTTTCTGAAATAGTAAAAATTAACTTCAGAAATAAAATTTACTCCAAAAATACGAAAATTTACTTTGGAAATATACTAGTAAAATTTACTCCAGAAATACTAAGATTTACACCGGAAATATTAAAAATTATTCCAAAAATAGTTAAATTTGTGAAACTAAACTAAAATTGACTTTGAAAGTAGTAGAATTTAAGCAGATAATATTAAAATTCTCTTCGATAATAGTAAAATTTACTCCTGAAATATTTCAATTTACTCAACATCGTAACTTTACTTCGAAAATAGTAAAATTTACTTACTAAAACACAATTTACTTTGATAATGATAACATTTACTTCAAAAATACCAAAATTTACTCCAAAAAAAATAATTTTACTCCAGAAGTAAAATTTACTTTAGTAGTAAAATTTATAAATAAAATTTACTCCTGAAACATTCCACTTTACTGAGAATCATAATTTTACTTCGAAAATAGTACAATTTATTTACTAAAACACAATTTACTTTGGTAATGATAACATTTACTTCAAAAATACTGAAATCAACTCCAAAATTGTTGATTTCTTTTTACCAACTCCGGTGGTAAAATTTATAAAGAAAATTTACTCCTGAAACATTCAAAAATTTACTCCAAATCATAACTTTTTTTCAAAAATAGTACAATTTACTTACTAAAACACAAATTACTTTGGTAATGATAACATTTACTTCAAAAATAATAAAATCTACTCAAAAATAGTTAAATTTACTCCGAAAGTAAAATCTACTTTGGTATAG